TGTTAAAACTTTTAACTTTTTAACTTAAAAGTAATGAATCGTAAATATTAATTATTGATATTTTATTTTATCTACTCCTCTATTGACGACCTGTGGCCTTATGGCATTTTAGTCTCGAGCTGAAGTTAGCAACAGTGCCTTTTAAGTTAGCTATATTATAAATTTAGAAAATGTGAGGTTAAATCCGGGTGGCAGTTGACAGATGTCAAATTTTTAACAAATAAAATTCGCCCTAAATTTTGTTTTGTGTTCGTCGTAGATAGAGTATAGTATGTAACTCGTTTATAAACTTCTTTGGACACTAGTTTTTATTAAACACTCGCTCGCAAGCTTCGCTCTTGCTTAATTAAACTCCTAACTAAAATATCGTTTATAAAACTTGATACATAATATACTATTATAGTAATTACTATAAAATAAAATATTAATAATTAATATTTAACGTGTCATTATTAATAAGTTAATAATTTATTACTTTTTTAATTTAGAATACATTTCAATAATAGATTTATTAAAACTTTTCACAATATATTAATAATTTAATATAATAATAATATAATAATTAATATACTAAAAGTGTGGAAGCAAATTCCCAATATTATTTTTCTATGTAGTCGGCTACAGGTTCGGATTTAGAAATTTGGCGTGTCTATAATATAGAAATAAGACATGAGACAATCTGACTCTATAGCTAAGAGAGAGTGCGTTTAATCGTTCTTCAACAAATTTTTATCTTAAGCAGTTTTTCACTTCATCATCATCTTATTCTTAAACATTCTATATCTTGAAATTTTTTAATTGAAGACACTTGTCATGAAGTGTTTATTCAAACAATGCATGCAAAAATTCTTGGTTATTTTTTATCAAGAACTTTGTATGCTATACTAAATTAGAAAAAATTCTGCCAAATTCATCCAAAGTATTTATATTGAAGTTTTCCCTTCATCTCTAGATTCATCCCATATGAGCTTTTAATATTATTTGTTTTCGAAAATTGCAAGTTGGATCGAGTGTTCCAATATTGACACTACTGTCTAGTTCCTCACAGCTCGACACTACTGTCTAGTTACCCCTAATTTTTTCCGTTCTAGGCAGCTGCCTACGTTGTCAGTTCGGTAAATTCGGCCCTGTCGGCATCTTTTGTATTTTGTTGGTTATCGTTTAATTCGGTTAAATTAATTTTTATTATTTAATTGTGCAAATTTAATGGTAAATTCAAAATAGTTAACTACTATAATTATAGTATAGTTAAACTTAAGTTTAGATCTTCCTTCATTTTGTAATTACTATTTTTCAGTAAAGGCATAGTTGCCAAACAACACTTATGCTAAATATATGAAAATTATTACTAAACACAAAAGCGCTCACTCCTAAAATATTAAAGCTGTCCCCAAATTACTAAATTTTTTAGTAACCATTCCCAAAACTGTTCTCTCCGTACATATGCATAAAATGATACGTAGAATCTATATTATAGATATAATCAAGTTTACCCCTTAAGGGGTTAGGTGTTTTCTATAAATTTGAAAAATATATTTATTGGCCGGCAGTATTTTTTTTAAACTACAATCGAATATTTTTAAAAATGTTCTTGTTTAGAATAATAACCAACAGGAGTTTTGTGAGCGTATAGACTTTCAAAATGTGTCACATTACTGAAAAAAACAATGTTTAGTCTCTTTTCTTTATAACTGCTCCTTCACTCAACGCCTGTATATAAAAAATATGTGTATGATAAAAGTAAATATTATGGTGAAATATTAATATATTTTTAATTCCAAAAATCGCTTAGACTATGTAGGGCAATTTTTTACCTGCCATCTGCCAAAAGTAAACCAAGGGCTCTGAGCTTTATTTGACAATTTTTGGCCTATCAGAGTAATTGTTTAGAAAATTGGACTAGTACAAATTGCAGCGAATATGACACTAGTGCTACCAGGTAAATATTTTTTAATTTATCAATTTTTTAATCATTTGTTCGATAAAATTGTCCTCCAATTACAACTCGCAATTAAAAATATATGTCGAATATTTTAAGGTGTGTGATAGCAAATATTATTTGTAGTTGCAAATAGTACTCGTGGTAATTAATTAGGGGGCATCCATTAATTACTTGAGGCCATTTTAATTTTTTAGTACTAATTACTAAACAGTTCTCTATACATGGTTATTAATTGCTATAAAAGTCAGCCACTTTTTTTGTAAAACCAAAACAACTTTTGTAATACTATACTTACTTTATAACAATCATTACTAACAGTTTGGGAATAATAGTATTAGTAATATATTATGTATATTTTTTATTTTATCCTCTTTTCCACCACTTTGCCCCTAGGGGATTCATGCAAATATATAAATCAGTTATAAATGGAATACACTAAAAATTGTAATTCACGAATAAATAATTGTAATTACTTATTTTAGCTCCTCTGCCAACATCGCAAATTTATTAAAAATAAAATAAATTTATAATTGAATTCAGGAACAAAATAATTATACATATTTACAGGAAACCCAAAAAAAATTAAAAAAGGTGTAGTTCCGCGGTTTTAAAAATTGTAAGTCGCTTTGGTCTGCAACAGCAATTTATAGATCAATAAACTGCTACAATAAAATATTCTCTTACATATAGTGCTTTTATGGTTAATTTCTAAAGCCGCCGTATATTTATAAAAATATATTGTACGCGCGTTGTCGGGCCCAGCAGTGTTGCCAAGTTTAGGGGCTGATAACGATACGTTAATATAAATGTATAAATATATACTCAGAAGCGCCCCCTACAGTGAAATTCTCCAAACTTTTTGTATAAATGAATGCATAAATGGTACTTTTTGAGGCCCATCAAAAATTTTAACAGGAGGGTGCAGAAAGAAAGGCGAATCGAATGGCTACTATATACTCGGGCTCCGTTGTAAAGCCCAAAGCCGGGTTTTATAACGTCGCTTTGGGCTTTAAAACGTACTAAAGTTATCTTGTACGGGCCTGTATAAGAGCGTTTATAAGTCTATATATATATATACAGGGTTTTCATTTTAAAACGAACCACCTTAAATATCTTTTAAATTAAAAGAATTTTAAAAAATCCAAAAAATACGTCGAGTTATAAAAGAAGGGGGAACTTCTATCACATTATTTAATTTAATCTAGTGCTCACCCCCTCGCGCCCACCCACCCCCACTTTAAAATTTCAAATGGCACCTCCCTACAAGTGACACCTCATTTTGAAGAGCATAAAATTCTCTATCCAATGGTGTGAAAAAATAGTAAATCGGATGGCTATTTAAGGATCTGAAAGATAAAATGTGTGCTGATAAGATAAAATAATAAGGTAAAAACAATATTGTTTTTAGGTATCTTTTTGTGCAAAAGGTAATAAAAATGTCCTTAAAAACATTTAAACTGGCACTTTTATCATTAATTCATTTTCTACATTGCTCCTAGTAAGTTTAAAATTAAGACATTAAAATGGGATACACAAGAGTGTAGAAGTATTTCGTCTCAAATTTTAGCCCGTGTCCGCGAAGAATTGCAAGATCGACTTTACTATTGCCTAGCGAAAAACGGCGAACATTTCGAACAATTTATAAAGTAAAAAATGTATTCAATTTAAAAATAAAAATATACAAACCTTTTTACTTTTTTCTATTTTAGCAAACATTTTATCTTCCAGATCCTTAAATAGCCATTCGATTTACTATTTTTTCACACCATTGGATAGAGAATTTTATGCTCTTCAAAATGAGGTGTCACTTGTAGGGAGGTGCCATTTGAAATTTTAAAGTGGGGTTGGGTGGGCGCGAGGGGGTGAGCACTAGATTAAATTAAATAATGTGATAGAAGTTCCCCCTTCTTATATAACTCGACGTATTTTTTGGATTTTTTAAAATTCTTTTAATTTAAAAGATATTTAAGGTGGTTCGTTTTAAAATGAAAACCCTGTATATATATATATATATAACGGAAAAATATAGAACTGTATACAGTTCTATATTTTTCCGTTTGCTGTGTAAACCCATATAGACCAGGGTCGATAATTTTTGAAACCAAAAAAAATAACAGTAGGATGAAACCCATTGGAAAAGGAGGGGAATATAATAGAAATGAAAGGAAAAATAAATGACTTGCGATCTTACTTCGGGAAGTGGCAGGGGGTTGTTTTAAGGGTAAAAAATGGTTTATCTCGATTTTCGGCAAAACTACAAGTCCTATGGAAAAAAGTTAAATGGCAAAGTTGTAGGTAATAAAAGGATCTACAACTTTTGTAATTACAATTTTTTTACATAACCTCAAAATTTATGTGAAAAATTCAAAAAACCAAGTTTTTGGTTTTTTATTTTTATCTTTTTCAAAAAAAAATTTTTTCCCACGAAATTTGGTGAAAACTTACCTTTTTATGTCCCAAATACACTGTAATTTATTTGATTTGAAATATTTATTATTTCGCCTTATTTTGACTTAATATCAAAAAAGCACCAATTTTCAATCGAAAATTCTCGCGTCAAAATATCAGCTTTTTTCAAAAAGTCGGTGTGCTTTTTGTTTGTTGAAATCTCTACTTTCTGATGGTGTAAAAAAAATAACTTCTTAAACCAATAATCTGAAAAATGTTAAATATATTAATGATAGAGAATTTATTTATCTTTTTATCAAACAAATTGCAATCCACTAACTGGTATAAAAACATTTTTTTTCATAGAGGAAAATATGTAAAATTGACTATTTTTTAAATCTGTTCTACTTTCGTAACTTTTGACGCATTTTTTCGGATTGAGCGGACAATTTTACATATAATGTACAGGATCTGACTGTTAAATATTGGAAATACGAAATTTTAGTGTTGGTAATAATCCAAAGCAGAAATGTATCTCATTTAGGTAAACCTAGTTATATTGTTAGGTCAACGGTTAAATTCTGCATGTTTTGCTGAACAATAGAAAAGCATTTTTAAAATCCAGATTATTATTAAAACCATCATAACTAGTTTAATTTATTATTTTTAGATGTACAGAGGCAACAGGTTCAATCTTAGTAAATGGAAAGTTAAGAAATATAAAACAATTTAGAAATATGTCTCGATATATTATGCAAGAGGATTTAATTCAACCAATGCTCTCCGTTAAAGAAGCTATGATGGTGGCTGCGAATCTCAAATTAAATAAAAACATTACCTTCGAACAAAAAGAAAATAGTGTAAGTATAAAATGCATTTTAAATAATAAAATTAAATATTATAACTTAATTAATTGTGCTGTACTAGCAAATATATTTGATATTAAAATAACTTTGGTTTGATAATTTATGGACAAAAAGCACCACTTCTTCAAATTTCTAAAAAGTTCTTATTTGGATATTAAAACAAATGTTACTAAAGAAAACGCGCCAAAGTGGATGCAGTAGTTGGAACTACCCTCATTAAAAAAAAATTAAATTAATTTTTTTTTTAATATTGTATACAAATGCTATAGGTATAGTATATATATATATACCTGGTATACCTGGTATACCTATTCTTACGCTACAGAAACCCTTAGGACCGGCAAAACGATTTCAGCCCAGGTTGGTAGTTCGATGGGAGGGAAGTTTATTATTATTATTTTGCAGTGTTCTATAAATTAAACTTTAGAAATTATTGTCAACACTCACTACTAAAGTGATTTAGTATCGCCTAGGCTGTAAATTAATTTAGACTAATCGGGTAAAGTTTTTCTCGATTTTTATATAAGAATGTCATATTCTCGCACGCAAAATCGTTGAAGAATGAAGCTCATTCTTAAACGATTTTTGGTAACATTTAGTTTTTAAGTATTGGTACCCCCAAAATGTCAAACTGATTAATAACCTCAAATTCATTACTTTTATTGAAAATGAAGCCTTTATTATTGTTTTGTAATATAAAGTTTGCTCTAACAATGCATTTTAATGCAAAATTTTAAGTTTAATGTGTAAAAGTGCAGTTCAGGTTGTACTTGTGCAGGATAACAAATATTGTCATTTTGTGTTGCCAACTGACATTTTGCGAGAAAAATCCCCTAACTAACAACGACCACAAAACAATTAAAAAAACCTAAATAAAAGTTAAAATCGAGAAAATAGTATAAATCACACGTTGCAGAAGGCTATTCTCGCACTCATTCGTTCGTCCACTCGCTCCTTCGTCGCTCGAGGCCAAATTTCGAATTCGTGCGAGAATATGTGGCCTTCTGCAACTTGTACTTTAATATACTATTTTACCCCTAGTCTGTAAAAAAAACAATCAAATTTGAAAATTTCTAATACTCTCAGATTTACCTAACCTCACTTCGTACATTTAATAATTATTTTTATAATTCTATATTTTGTGTACGGTTTAACAAATAAAATTGTGCCTTGAAGATAAAACATTGTACCTGTTCTTGTTGAATTGATTTCTTGGTAACGATAGTTTTTATGAAATCATTTATATAAAGCTAGATATATTCCCATAATATATCATATATATATATATATATATATATATATATATATATCACTATAGTGTACACATTATCAATGATGAAAGTGCAAGTCTAACAAAATTTTAGCGGTGAGAAAAAAATATACCACATTAAAAAACATTTTGTGTAAATTTACCTTAATTACAGAAATTACAATAAAATAAAAATGTTAAATTAAGTCAGTTAGTACAATTTTAACATATTTCAGTAACAGATTCGGCTCGTACAGTACCTATGCCGTTCGGCTGAGAAGTATCTTTTTTTGCTTCGCTCAAACCTTGACCTCAGTATTACTGTCAGTAATTAGTTCTTAGTGGTCAGTGGTTGGCCGATTTTATTTTTCACTTTCTTGCCCCTAGTATCTAATCATAAAATTCGACATCTATCCGACGGTTTTAACCTCACTTTATACTTTTAATAATTGTACGTTTTTTAACAACCTTAATTAGGATATCAAATGACCCTAAAACCAATACGGAGGTCGCCCCAAGATGGCAAATTACCCGACCCAAGATCTTGAATTACCTTTTTCTTTACAACCCCCTTAATGTGGATATAAAATGAAAGAGTTTGGAAACTATTAATAGAGCTCTTGTTTGTTTAACAAAATATTAGATGCCTTTGTCATTTCTTCTGCAGTCAATTTGTAAGTTCTTCCAGTGGCAGTTAAAGAATTTACTTTAGAAATGATAAAGTTATTGGGAACAGATAATATATCCGCTCTTCTTGGGTAAGTAAATGAAGGAGATGGGCCAGGCGGATGGAGAAATGATACGTTCACTTCTTGCTCTGAATCATTTTTGGAGATAACACATGCCAACCACCAATTTTTATCATATACACAAGTTACAAAACCTGCAATTTGATCAAAAGGCACATCTTTAGTTTCAGATCCTACCCGAATCTTATGGACATCATAGCTTTCACTGTCAGAAATAATTTTAGTCTTAACCTTATATTTACTTTGGGGTATGAACGCATGGTATTTTTGTGTACCAGTAACTACAATTGCATCGTTAAATCTTTCTTTCTCCAAATACTCTTGGTTTGTTACATACAAAAATTTCACAGATGAGATATTTTCTCCACCCCTTTCAAAGAATTGGTACGGTGTTAAAATTTGATTTTCCACTGGGTTCTGCAGACTGGCTTTAGCTGCAAGCCTTTTTACTGTACCACCAACACCATCACATACTCCCGTTGCATAGATGTAGAGATGTAAAAAAACGGTTTTTTTTCAGATGTGAAAAAAAACATGAAAAAAAAACCTAGAAAAAAAACCGGTTTTTATTGTTTTTTTTCAAAATGAAATTTTGAGTAAAATGTATATTAATAATAAAGTGAAATGTAGAATATATTACATTTTTCAGTATTGAATTTTTTTTTTATTTGGTAGTTTCCACATTAGAAACCAATAGCAATTTAAAACTTCTACTCTAATACAAAAAATTAAAGGATAAAAAAAATTGTTTGCGATTTTTCGGATAGCTGTATCTTTGTTAAAAATGGTCGTATTGGAGCCGTAAAAAAAAGCAATTTGAAGCTTGAAGTGTATAGTTTTGAGATTTTTAGATGAAAAACGTGCAACGCTCAATCCTAACAAATACCGTAATAAAAAAAAATCGATTTTTTTTGCTTTCTTTTTTGGTCCACGGAATGTTGTGACTGAATAAATGTTCTACAAGAATTTGCTATTGTTTTTTTGAAAAAAAAATTCCATACCTACTCTAGATGAATTTAAAAAATCATGAAAAAAGTACTTTTGGTAGCTTTTTGAAAAATCACGCGCTGAATCAAAAATATTATCTGTAGTTACTTTTTTTAGGACCAAATCAAAACAAGCGCGGCCCTTATTGGTCAAATCGGTGGTTGTGGCGCGTGCATAGCGCGAGACTGTATTTATATTTACTAATTGTCATTTAGTGGCTAATTTTAGTCCATGGAAACATAAAAAATTAGACAAATGGGACTAATCTTGAAAAAAAACCTAAAATGTGAAAAAAAACCATTTGAAAAAAAACAATGAAAAAAAACCTGAAAAAAAACAAAAAAAACGGACCGTTTTTTTTCAAGTCGCATCTCTACATAGATGCCATTCTGCTTGTACTCCATTAAAATCCTCCTCATGATAGCCTAAATTTGAAAAGTTCTTACGGTTCTTGTATTGAGCAGCGGAACCATCGCTGAAGTAATATACTTTTGACAAATTTGGTACAATTTCATCTTTTATATACAAAATTAGCTTTTTTTAAAAATCATGTACCAGTACTGTGTTGTGCATTAGACAGTCGGATATAAACACTTTTGGACCTTGGGACTTCCTGATTTTTGGCCTTAAAATATATAACACATGGATGGACTGTAGCCATGGAGTTATTCCAGTGAAACCCTTGAGCTTCGTCTTGAAGAACAAAAGAATAGTTTTCAGCAAAGTCACACTGAACAACTTCATTTTCTAATAATAAAGATTTCTACTGCGAAAAATAAGGCGACTGCTGTTTGGCAATAAAGTCATGCCTTTTTAGTTTTACTAATTGATTGCAGAAGTCCTGGACAAAGTCATCTGTTGTTTTAATCATCGATTAACGGTAATCCATTGTTTATATGTAATATTATCTACCATTTCTTCTTCTAAGGCTGCTTGTAAAGAATCTCTAAAAGGTGCTTATTTTCGGACAAAAATTACGTTCATTCATAAGACATAATTTGGTAGGTGGGTTGCACATTATTTTAGCAATACAATGTTTGTATGCCTTAAGGGGTTGGTCTGAGCCGGAAAAAATAATTTTGTGCAAGTTTGCCCCAGTCATCATTAATTTTGTATTTTTATGGGTAGTACAAACGCAAACAGAATGAGTACCATTTGCTCCAGCTATGATGCAATTTTTAGGCCTTAACTCGGCAAATTTTAAAAATACAATTTTTACTTCAGGATAAGTAGATTTAAAAAGACTAAAAATTTCTTTTAAATTTCCCAAAATTAGTCTCTTTTGAATATGCAGGGGCTTACCATCACTATTTTTTCCAATTGAAACATAATCGTTTTTTCCGGGCATTTGTCTGCTGGTATCATCACTACAATAGAACTGCTTAACTAGAATAGTACTTTCTTCTGCCAGTGACTTTCCCTGCTTAGCATCTGAAGTAGAAATTATTCCTTTTTCCCCTGGCGAAAATAAAGCGTACATGAAAAGTGTGCAATAAGTGTGTATTTCGAGTGCAAGTCTTTATAACAATGTGCATACACGCTACTTTGTGGTAATTTCACACTTTTTGACATAATTAAGTTTTTTCACTCTTTATGTACATTGACATCACGATTTTTATTTGTCATATGTCACGCTTATATTACATTATATTTTAGCACATTGTTTGCACAGTGTTAGTACATTGTTTAAAGACATTTTGCAAAGCTTCAGTCTATCTTACGCATGTCACATTTTATACACACTGTTAGCACGCTTTAATATTTCTCATTTATGACGCTTATATTACACCTTTTTATAGCACATTGTTTGTACAGTTTTAGCGATCACTCAACAGTTTAAGGACATTTTAGATATATCTCGCTTGAGTTGGGGTACAACATTTATTTAAAAGGTGAGGTAGATTCCATCTTATGTATCGCTTCTCCGCCTATTGCTAAGATCAAAGCAATCCCCTTCGTGGAGTTGACAGTGCAGGTATTTTTCTTAATAAAATACAGTATGTAGTTTT